TGGGAAACAGATTAGAAGAAGCATAACTCTCTCTGACTTTCCTTAGGAAAACTTGTAATAAACTTGTTTGGGGATGTACAAACCCCAAAACTTGTGAATGAACAACCAACCGTGGATAACAATTTGTTCTGTAAAGAAAAAAAAAAAAAAAGATGCTGGGGATATGTCTGAGCCTAAAGTTCACACAGCTGATTCTCCTCACATGGAAAACTTGAAATTGTTCCCAGCTGGAGATGGGGATGTGTCAGGTTTTTTTTGCAGGTGAAGTCTATTAAAGGATTCTTTCTTGAAGAAAAAGGTTTACCAGCTTCTTGTGCTGCAGCAGCAGAGGTGCAAAGGTAGGGAGGTTTTTACTTGTTTTGGTTGAGAGAAAGAGGGTTATGGTTTTGCAATACCTGTGTTTAACCTGCAGAACTGGTGGGCCACAGGACTTTATTGATCCAGGAGCACCACTTTGTGGGGGGGTTGACAGAATATGGGCCTGGGACCTGATAATCTGGAAAAGACACTCTGTCCCAGTAGGGAACTATAGTTTTGTGGCCAACTCTTCTAAATGCTGCAGCAGTTTTCTTTGCATTTTGTTGACGTTTTACTTCAAATGGAACAGGACTAGCAGAACAACACCTGAGAGAATTTTTGTCTTGCAAAGAGAGCTGGGAGTGAAGTCAGTCAGCAGTGTCCTGGCCATAACAGTGAAGTGACTTTGGCAGTCAGTGTGTAGATGACTCACAAACCTTGGTGCCTTTGGGTTCTGAACTGCAGAGGTCAAAAATTAAGTCAGTCTGATTTAATATAATTCTAGCACACATGTTTTGATTGAATAGATTAAAACACTAGTTTTAATGGAATAAAATACTAGTTTTAATGCACAATTCTTTTTGCCACATTGATTCACATCCACTCTCTTCTTTCAGTGGTCCCTCTGCATGAGCACTATCCTACCCCATTTCTTCTAAACTGATCCTGAAACAAAAAGGAGAGTGAAACAAAAAGGAGAGTGCCTGAAACACTTACTCCCTGTTCTGTTGACAGAGGAGGAACAAGAATATTCTCTCTGGCAGATGGAAATCATGGCCCTCTCCCAGAGATGTTCACCGAACAGCCAGCACATAACGTAGCACAGCAATGGGGCTTTGTCAAGATGTTAACCCTTCATGTTGCCACTGAATGCTGTCAGGCCTGACTGTGCAGGGCAGGAGGAAGAGCTCTTCAGGCTAAAGCAGATCTTGCTTTTTCTTTGTTTGTTTTTCCCTGCTGCAGAGAGTGTAACAGGTTTAAATGTATCTGCTGCAGAATGTTTTGGACTAACTTTCCCTTCATTCCTGCTACGGAGAAAGTTCATTCACTTTCAAAAACATCGTGGTGAGTTTCATTTCTAGGGCTGAAAGTGTTCAAGCCGACTTACCTCGCCGCTTCCTCCTCTGCACAAGCGTGTCTGTGAGCTCCGGGCTCCGGGCTGCCCGCGACCCCGCTCTGGGGGCTCCCGAACCGGACCGGGACCGCGGCCGCTCCCGCCCGGCGGCCCGAGCAGGAGGGAGATGGCTCTGTCCCGGTGCTGTCTGCAGGACGGGCACCCACAGGCCGCGTCTGTGCCAGCCCAGGCCGGGGAGGCCGCTGGTGTGCGGGGGCTGCCGCCGACCCTCGGAGCCGCGGCCCAGCCCGGCGGGCGGAGCCCGGGGTGGTCCCAGGAGCGCGGGGGCCCCGGCGGGAGAGTCCGCGGGGAGGCAGGGCAGGAGCACGGCTGGGACTTCCCCGCCGGAATGCACCCTTTGGCCGCTGTGCGGGCTGTGCAGGAGCGGAAAGCGCCCAGAGGGGCAGCGGGCGAAGTCCTCGGCCTCGCCCATCCCGCCGGAGTCTCCGGGCAGCTGCGCTGCTCGACCGGGACAGGGCTGGCAGCTCCGCCAGTGCCACCGGGACAGGGCTGCCAGGTTCCCCCGAGACAAGGCTGCCAGGTTCCCCGGGACAGGGCTGCCAGGTCCGCCAGGTTCCCCAGGACAGGGCTGGCAGCTCCGCCAGCGCCATCGGGACAGGGCTGGCAGCTCCGCCAGTGCCACCGGGACAGGGCTGCCAGGTCCGCCAGGTTCCCCAGGACAGGGCTGGCAGCTCCGCCAGTGCCACCGGGACAGGGCTGCCAGGTCCCCCGGGACAGGGCTGGCAGCTCCCCCGCGGAACTCCGGGGTGCGGGACAGACCCAGCCCCGCGCTGAGGCGACCCCACCCCGCTCCTTCCCGGAGCGCTCCAAGTTTTTCACCCCGCGCTTAGCGGGGCAGAAAGAGACGTTTTCCCCACCCTCGTCTGCGAAAACGCTTTCAGTGGGAACACTGGGAACTGTAAGGCGGCTGGGGATGACACCCCAGGTGTCCCCGCTCTGTGCCCGTGCCTCGCTCCGTCCCGGCGCTGACGGGAGATATCTCTGTATGGGTGAGCGCTGGGCGCAGTGCCCGAAGCTGAAAGCCGAGTTGGAACTTGCAGCTCAGGGCTTTAATTGTGATCCTTACCTGTGTAATGCCTTTAATTAATTGCGATCCTTACCTGTGCAATGCCTTTGATTGTAATCCTTACCCGCGCAATGCGTGTTACAGGAGAAATCCTTGGTTAAAGTGAGAGCAGCAAACGCGCTGTACCGCCGGGCCTGCCTGTGCTGGCTGATTGTTACCTCAGCAGTGACGATGCTCGGGTTTGGTTTTATCACTGAAAAGTGTGCGTTCAATCACAATTCTGAACAGTTTCCCGCTGGGTAGGCAGAAGAACTAATAATTCCACAACAGAACTCAGATAAGTTACTTCTCTATTGGCTTTTTCCTCTGAATATCTCCAGTATATGCAAATGTAGTGCATGCTCGTCGTAGACTGAACTGCATTAAAACGTGCTGGTGGTAATGAGAGTATCTCAAAATTCCCTGAGAAATGGCCAGGGATTGGTATTGTGGGAAGAGGCAGTGCCACTCTGGGAGGGTTATCTCGGGAGCCTTGTTTACCCTTTCAGAATACTCATGGCAGAACAAAGCCGATATAATGAAGACAAACCAAGATTATTGTGACATCTTGTACTTTTTCCTGACATCACCTAAGGACAATGGTCTTTGCTGCAATATCTTTGATGTTGTTTGTAGATGCTGGGTTTTTTCCCATGTCCTTCCTTACCATTCTTCTCAGAATGTATTGAACCATTAATAATTTTTTAGCTTAATTACTTGTTCATGTTTTTGTTCTTAATCAGATAAGTAGATAATGGACAGTCTCTGGGTGATTGGTTATTCACACTCAAACACCACATTCCAAACTTCTGAATAATTATTAATTAATGGAAAAGAGTAATTGTTCCCTGTGGAACTGTGAGTAAATGTGTACTTGACATAAGTGGTCTTTAATCTTTGCAGTGATTAAGAATTCTTGAAACCAAACTGATGTGTGCTTGCAGTGTTGAAAAAATTTTGTACACTTTCAATGCTGTTATTTGGTAAGCAAATAAAAAGTCTATAGAAAATATGCACTAAATAAGAGTATAGAAGTTTCATGAAGTAACAGAGCCATTTCAGCAGGTAAATAGAGGTAGATGTAGAGCACAAGATTTTAAGTTCATTGTTTGGAATGTGAAAAAACAGAGGAGTTTCCACTTCATTGTAAGGGCTCCTACAGGCATTTCACAGGTTTGCAGACTAGAAATTGGTGATGATATCTCACCCCTTTGTTACCAACTGAATCATACACGTGGCCTTTAAACAGAAACTTTGAGACTCCTGTGCAGGTGAATTTGCTGTTTCTTTAATGCATGGACACTTGAATATTTACCATTCTCAAGTCAATATTCACTGCAAACTAAGCTGAAATTACTCACTGTTTCCTGTTACAATATTTATCAGGTATATTCAGCAGATTTTCCCCTGGATGTTTGCAAATTTCTGGGAAAATGAATGTTTTGGCTATACAGATGTTTGGATGTTAAAATCCTGTCAAGATGCAGATGATTTTGGTCTTAGGTGACTTTATATATACTGGCATTGGCAAATTTTGCCTTTCACCTTCCTCCTCTTAAGTTCTATGCTTATTAGAGTAATGCTGTGCTTCAGGAATTTGTTATTTTGTAGCTCTTGCTCAGGGTAAAACTCCAAACAAAAAGGAAGAGAGGAGATGAGATGATGATTGATGAGACCCCAGGTTGCAGGGGGAGGTACATTCCAGTGACTTGGGAGGAATTGGCAGGGAACAGACTCAGACTGATATGCCTCGCTTCTTTCAAAGTAGGAAAGAAAATGAAGTAAATTAAGTAATCAACAACTGTAATATTGATGATGAATCATTTTGCATTGCATTTTAGCACACTTTCACTGTAGGGACATTGAAAATTATCATTTCAGTAAATCAGTGTGCATTTTCTCTAAATTGTATTAATATACAAATAAAGAAATGCATACATACCATATATTGGTATTATGATAACTGATGATAGCTTTTAGAGACTTGTTTCAAAGTGATTTTTTTCTCTTTTAGAGCTCCTCACAATCCATTCAGTTGGAGGATGTGAGTGATTTCTCCTTGCTGCTTTACTTGTGACTGTGTCTCATTGCCATCTCAGACAGAGGTAAGAGTTCTCACCTTCCTGAGCTTTTGTATTCTGTAGTTTTGCTGCAAGCATCCTTTTAGATAAGGTCATATGAAAGAGACTGCCATTTAGGTATTATTGCAATAGGAATGCTCTCAAGTTTGTTCAGGAACTCCAGCTTCAATATTCCAGTTCAAACCAGTCCTGTGGTTTTGAAGGCAGCTGCTCAACCAAACCAGGTTTGGTTGGTGTTGCAGGGTGGTTGAAGAGTGCAGCCTCACTGCCCTCAGGTGGAATGAACTGGAAGATGTGCTGGCTGTATAAATCTGCAGCTAGGTCTTTTGGGTGTATTATATTTATTTTTTAAAAAAAAGGAGAAAAAGTGGACTCTACAATGGATAATGAAAAACTAAGAGGTGATAAGTACAGGGCAAGAAAAAAATACTCCACTTCCAAATTCTTTGTCTTTCCACAAAATAATTTATTACATAAGTAAAATACAAAGAGTGACTGTAGTTTTAGTTCTTCTTTTCACTTTTACCCAAATGATCACTTATATAACAACTTCATCTCCTGGTAACATCAGAGTAGAAATCAGAATATTACATTAAACCCACACCTGCACTCTTCAGCTGTTGCTTCTGTGTACATGTTTCTGGAATGAATCTTGGCTTAACATCTCTCACATAAGTTCCTACATTGTGCAATTTTAATATACATTACCTGTATAATATAAATATAGTTACTCTGGAGATGACAGTGGTACCCTGTACGCAGAATTCAATGCATACAATTTAAAAGACAAAGGGTAGCTGAAGTCAAATGAATTCAGTAAGTCTTTTGGTTTTTTACAACATGTCCAGAAAAATCTCAGTTGAAGTTAATATTAATAAAATACAAAAAATATGTTATCAGCAGAAGATCAATTCATGTGCACTGGGAAAAAAATGGCATTTGGGGAAAGGAATCTTCAGTTAAGTCCCTACAGGCTCCTCTGTAAGCCCCTCCACTACCACACAAAGGCAGCGCGCTCCCGCAACATCCTGACACCGAAGCGCTGCCACTCCCTCTGGTATATCCACAGCTCCTGTGTTGTGTCCAGACAGGCCAGAACTGCCCCTCCTTTCCAGGCTATTAAACGTGGATCCATATCCTAAATTCAAAACACACATTGCACACAGTCATTGGTCTCATTCTGCATCATTCTCCAAAGTTGTATCCTATTTTCCAACACTATTCACTAGTTAGAATCTGGTGGGGTAGGGGAAAAGTTTTTCAGTATTACCCAGGAAAAAGCAGTGAGATAAAAATATTTAATTGATATTCAAGATGCTTTAAGAAGTCACTTTTTGTTTTAAGATGCTTTCTAAGCACATCATGAAAATCTTGCCTTCAGTAAAAGAGGCTCTGAAATAGATGGAAGGATATTTACAAGTTTTGCCTGATTAATGCCAAATGAAAATTAATCTCAATGCCTGTTTATCTATTATCTTTATAGTACTAAAAAATAAAACAAATCCCAATTTCTTGCTGAGGAGACAGGTTACCTTCATGGGCCAGTACTAACTGCTTCTTTAAGAATAGGGCCTGGAGCCAATAAAACACTTCAGTGATCTGCACCAGTCACACTCTTGCTTTGCCTCTAACTCCCTGTCCCTAACCAGCCAGTGCTATGTTAAAATAGGCTGAAAGCTCCCTTATATCTCAGATATTCAACTACTCTGGGATTTTAAAAGAACTTTTTTCTTTTAATCTTTCAAAGATTTCAACCAATCGTAGTTGACTATCTACTTAGCTATCAGTTACCTTAGGCCTTGTGATGACCTCAACATTTTCAACAACTCTTCTGAAAGAAGGTGGCATTTTGTTGAGAATTCGGTGTTGAAGAAACTCTTGAGCTTTATGAAACATAAGGCCTCCTCCCACTACTAAGATGGAACTGTACATCTTCTTTTTTGTATCATCAGATGCTGGAATGAATGAATATATAGAAATACATCTGTTTTATAAAGTTATTATGGCCTGCATTACAATTAATTTAGTGCAAGTCAGAACTAGATAGAAACTGATGTTTGCTTTTAAAATTCTTCTTCTATTCCTTGGATACATAGCACAAGAAACATCAACAGAGATGCAAGCATAAGAAACAGTGTAGCTACTCTCCAGATGATAAAACCTGGAGACACATCTTTCTTTGGTGAAATACAGGAGTTACATAAACCCACCCTGAGGTCTATTTCACAGACTGGTACAAATGGAATTCTTACCACAGCAGTCGATGCTATGAAGGATGGCTTTGTCCAGGCCCAAGGCTTTGCCTTCAAACTGAGAAATAGCAGTTTTCCTGGACATGTGTGCAGTTAAAGGCTCCTCTGAATCATTGCCAGGTATCATACAGTCACCCTGGGAAGAGCCCAGCTCCACTTCTTGTGGGTAGATCCTCTCTGAAATGTCTGAGGATTGGCCTCTCAACTCTCCCTCAAATGCACCAGGCTTTGACATAGACTTTCTGTCAGCTGTAGCTTTTGCAGACTTAAAAATGAGAAAACCAAAATGCAAAAAGGTCACAGCAAGTTACAGACCAGTACAAAGATTTAACTAAGCACCATTGTACTTCCCTTCACCTTTTTGCACAGCAGGGTTAAGCCCTGCATTATTGCCTCCTCTAATTTTCACTTTAATCCTCATGTTCTAAGTAAGGGCTTATTTTGAACTCCATCTGATTGCTCAATCCCATAATGTAGGGATCCCTTCTTAGACTGGAAAAATGCTAATTAAATTAAAAAATTCTAATTTAAAAATTGTTTAGGCATCTTACTTTAAATTTATTCTTTAATACTTCAGACTGAGGTAAGAAACTCTGGTTTCTGAGATGAGCTAATGAGTCCTTATTTAATTCCCCAATTAAATGATAGTTCATGAAAAATAAAACAAGCAATCACACACCTGCTCCTGCTTACTTTGTGTGGCCAGCAGATAATGTTCATCATGAGGATCCTCAGGATCACCTTGTGACCTGTGCTGCAAAATTGTCATTTTTTGTCCAACAATTCCAAAAGTTGCTGGATAAAACAGAGCCATGGGTGCCTGAGGAGAGATTTGGCATGGTTTTACTACAGTATTCCTTCTTATAGCATTTACTGCAGAAAAAAAAAAAAAGTCTTGTTCTATTTTTCTCACAATTCAAAATTAAATAGAGATGGTTTTTTTCCAGGTAGTCTGTAAAATACTAAAGTGTCTTCTGGTTTTTATAATTAAAAAATATCCCAATAAATACACAAGTTTCTGTACAGATTTAGCATTGCATGATAAACAAGTACTCAAATGTTGTTTGTTACAAAATTAGAAAATTCAATGGTGAGCTGAAAAACTTGCAAAATTAACATTAGTTTTTTTTGCACTTTGCACTTGAAGGATAATTATCATATTTAGATGAAGTAACAACAATTGTGGCTAAAGCTACTTAGAAAGTCTTGTGTATCCACCAGTTCTGCATTAGGCCCACCCATCCATATGGGAATTAATTTTATCTACAAGCACAGTTTAAGAACAATCCATAAATCAGATGGGCTTAGTAGCACTGGACTGATACAAATTGAGGCTCTAAGTCTGAATGCTCATTATAGTTGTAATTGAATTTAAAAATCACCTGTAATTTTTCATCCCCTAATCGGAACTGGTACAATAAAGCTGGAGAATCCGGATGCCGAATTTGGAACTCGTGATCTTGTAATCCAGAAATATCCTAAGGTAAGAAACAAAGAAAAAAAAAAAGGTATCTATCTTTTATGTTTATCAAGCTGTGTAATCTATTTAATTACAAAAAACAGCAAAAAGTAACGAAACTCTCTTCTAATATGGACTTTATTTACCTATTCTTGAGGTTTTTTTAAGTCTTTTCCACATAGTATGATGTGCCTGACAGCTTTCTACATGCCTAAGCCTCTACAATGAGGGTTTTGCAGGAAGAAGAGACCTGCTGGCAGATCTTACAGAAGTGAAGTTGAAAACCACCAAGTATGCAACTATTATCAGCTTCTTTCAGCAGTAAGAACAAAGAAATTATCTTTCTAAGGGTTAGGATTCCTTTCAGCTAGATGAAAAATAAACCAAGTTACAAACATTTCAAGTCTAAAGCTTCTACAGCTTTTGCCAGTATTCTCCTGAGTAAAATATTTACAATTAACTTGGGCTCACAGAAAGGCTCCCCAGAGTAACACTCTGTAAAAGAAAAAAAAAATTACTTGGGATAACACACAATTTTCCCCTTCTCACCTGATCTAGATGACAAAATGTCTCCTTTAGGTGCTGAAGCAGCAGGCAATCCAACTTATTAGTTAACTGGCAGTCTCTGTATGGGAATCCTGCTCGCTGCATCAGCCAGTAAAAACACCTTGAGACATCAGATCCCCCATATGCAAGGCACAGCCTAAAGCACAGAGAAGAAAAAGATCTTTTTATGTAGTTGCTGAAATACTGGCTGACTGCAGCAATAGGGAGAGGAATGCTAAGAGTATTTTAGACATGTTGGAATCATTACTTCCACAGTTTGCAGAACACAGTATTGGTTATGATCAGTTCTGTTTTCTTCTTTTAAAGATAATTTTTTAGGGTTCATATTGTAACAGTTGTCTCTGTTAATTGCCTCAGAGCAGGAAAACCCCTATATTTATAGAAATTTTGTCTCCTTTTAGAAGTCCAATCTTTAGTAAGCAATTAAGTCCACGATCCTAATAATTCTGGACACTCCAAGGTACCTGGTGTTGCGATGGGAAACACCATCTTCTACACAGCAAACACTTGTCTTCTGATCTCCCACATCTACAATGCATGCACTGCTTAAACCACTTCCAAAGGTAGCACAGACAGACTCCTGGTGTACAATGATTCCTAGCAACAGGAGATAAAAATTGTATTAAATGCATGCCAAACTTTACAGTCGTGTTGCTGACATTTAAAGGACATTTTATGTCTTTTCAAGATCTACAAATAACTTGACTGAAAGTCTGTACATTTAGTGAAGATGGGGTGGGGGGTACTTTGAGAGTTTTTTTGTTGGATAAGGCTTTAGAAGTCCTGAAAAGAAGCTAAGAGCAGGGTCAAATGATCCTTTTTCTACAAAATTAAAGGTATTATCTCCAAACTGCAATTATTTTTTTAATCTGGTAGTGCAGGGTCTTGGCTACTGGATGTACAGAAAGTGTTTTCCTATTTTTTTCTGGTTTTATTCAAATAGCATTATTATTAGTATTTCAGATATGGTCTTTAAGTAGTTATATGATCCAATTTGACCCTCTGTTTTCCCTACAATCCACCTTTACAGAGTACATTTGTGTCCCAAGCCCATACTTAAACCTGGGAAGTACCAGAGATTCCAGTCTGTCCTTCTGGACAGTTGTGCATTTTAAAAATATTTAAGAAATCAGACTGCTGCTGCTTTTACCTCAGCTGAATGAGAAGCCCACAGCTGGAATGCATAACAGTAAACCAAAAAACTTGTTTCAATATTAGCCAACCATTTTGCCCCTTTAAAAGAGACAGGTTATGTGATTGGCAAAAGATGAGGGTGCTAGACCCAGCTAACCTGGGACTAATGTGCAAAAGTATGCCTTAAAAGGAAAAAAAATTAAATCTTATGCAATTAATCATTGAGTATTTGCTTCATTATGGATTTTACCTGAGAAGCCCATCTTCATTAGGATCATATTTACCAGTTCTTTCACATGTTGTTTATTATAGATGTCTGGAATTAGTAAAATGCATCTGTAGTACTGAAAACAAGAAGAGTAAATTAAAGCCAGCTCTCCAATAAAGTTCGATATACAACTTATTAAAAGAAAAATCAAAATTTTAGGAAAGGGGAAGGCTTCTAATACTTGAAAAATTATGTTCTAAGTAAGTGCCAAGAGTCTACAGCCATTAAAATGTTTAAAAGTACATCAGGCATGAGACAAACACCTACTTGGCAAGGAGAAGTAATTACACAAGTATTAGGCAGCCCTTCCCCAGGTGCCTCCTTTACAGTCAACAAAAAACACCCAAACAAAGACTGAAATGTCTATAATGGGATTTCTAAACATCCATGTTAAGAGGTTTTATCAACAGCTTTTGTCTTAAAGACATGGACAAAATTCCAGATGAAGTCTTGGGAACCCTGCTCACCAGCAGAAAGAAGGTATTTATTGAGGAAAGCACCAGTAAAAGGCTACCAATACCAGCAAGTTGTTTCCCTTTTAACACTTAGAGAAGAGTATACAGGCCACAGCACAAAAATGTGCTGTTGACAGCTCACCTTTAGGTCTTTCAGGGGTATTTCCAGGTATTTTTGTATTGCATGTGACCATATAACTTCCAGGTCTGCCAGTACTGCAGTGAGGGAGCCGCCAGGTCCAGCGTGGAGATTGAGCTGCCCCCTTCTAATGGGCCAGTGTATGTTATAAGAATCTAATGGATTAACATACAGGGCCTGAAAGTGAGAAATGACATCCTGGGCATTGCTTTTCCCAAAAAAACAGCAACAAAATGAGAAACTGGGAAGTGTTTCAGAAGCACATACAAGACATTGCAGAGCTCAGACTGATGTAACAGCAGTACAGCTGATTTCTTTGTAAAAGGGCTTGATAATAAACCATTAAAATAAAAAGACAGCAAATACATAGTCTAAATTGTTTGAATGTTTTTGCTCACAGACATCTAGTGAATATAAAGGTGTATTTTCCCACTACCTCATATTAGAAACTAAAATAATTTAAACACTCTGAAGCCCACAAATATCAAGTTACTCAGCAGCAATTCCATATAGGGATACTTTTATCAGTTTCTTGCCTTTTCTCTGAATTATGCCATATGGGTGAAGTTCTCACCTACTCCCTGCAAAAACACTGATTTATAGCAGGAAGGGATCCAAGATACTTGTTGAACAAATGGGAGAAACCCTCTTGTCTTGCTGAATGATAAAAAATACTCAGTTCCTCCACCATAAAGTTTCTCAGTTTTGCTTGGTTAGCTTTACACATCTTTCAGTACATACTAACTTACAGCAGACTGCAACTGATCCATGGCTGCATTAAAACACACAAAGCCTCACTGAGCAGGATAATCAATCTTACCTCTTCTCCCACCAAAAATTCAGGATGATTTGATGTGTTTGTCCACTTGGCCCCAGAGCTGTGATCCAAAATAGCAGGCCTCATCTGTCTGTTGTAGGACCTGGCCTGAAATGTAACCAAACCAAATCCTCTTGATAAATATTTTACCGGTCACTTTTTATGCATGGAAGAAAAATTAAATACCCCTTTGAACCCAGCCCTCGAGGAAACACTTATAATCTTAATTTTCTCATGTTTTCAGAGTTAGGTAGCACAGTAACACTTATCCATATTTGGTCTAGAAAGGGTATCTATGCTTGTCCACTGAAGCATAGCATCTCACCCAAGGATTGTGTGGATGAACAATTTATTAAGACCTTATTAGAATGAGTTACCTGATCAGGTGACACCGGTATGCGCCTCGCTCCATTCGACATCTTTTTGGACCATATTGCTTGGTCCACCATTTTAAGGCCATTTTGTCTCTGCTCAGTACTTTCAGGTTTCTAAGGAAAAACCCCAAATATGCAATGTAAATACTTTCAAACCATGTCTGTATACTGGTAGTACTGAAGCTGTTAGGAAACAATGAAATCATTACTAATTAAATTTTGATGGACAGTAGAAAGGACAGATGTTTGTACAATCCAAAATGGACTTATGCTCATTTTTAAAGAAACTATTTTTTATATTAGAGTACCCAACACCTATTCAAATCAACTTGAATCTTTTAACTGCTTTTAGTGGCCACTGGACTTCATCTCGAGTGATGTGCTCAGGCCATTATCTACTTAACTACAGACATATGAAGTAGGAGCAAAAATGTTTAAACAGATCTCAATTATTAAATGGTGACGTTTAATATTAGAGAGGTTAGTTTGATTTTTACAGATTCAGATTATTACATGTCTTGTGACCAGGCTGCACTGAAATGACTTGCAGTGTTACCCAAGTCACTAGTAACCAACACATTCACAAACGAAAAAGTCTGATTCGAATCCTACAGTTGGCATTCCATCAGAAGAAATACTGACTGTGGTACCAGACCATAGCACAGGGAAATCAACATGTAAACCCCCAACTTATCAATTCTTTAGGTTTAGTTCATTGAAAACAAATCCAATAAAACGCAAACAGACTGGTCCAAGCCTACTGACTTCAGTAGGTGGCATCTACAGTCCTTAAAAGGGTGAAAAACAAGTTTGACAGGAGTTGTTCTCTCCTCTGGAAAACCATGAAGGATAAAAGGCACATGTGCAGCACACAACAAACCAAACCGCCGCAGAACGGGCGATGGGCAGGCGGATTCCGGCGAGGCGGGGCCGCTTACATTGAGGCCGTCCCTGAGGAGCCAGCTGTCCCTGTAGGCCGCCTGGCCCGGCTGCTTGTGCCGCCGCGCGATCACGTGCGGGATGCCCGCGGGCAGCGTGTCCGTGGCCCGCCCGAGCCGCAGGGTGGTGGAGCCGGGGTGGATCACCACGATGAAATTGCTCTGTATTTGCTGAAAGTGGCACAACGAGCACGGAATCAGAGCGAGCCCCCGGGACCACCTGGAGCCCTCCCGGCGCTTCCACACCGCCCCTCCGCAGGCCTTTAAAAGGCCGAGCCCGGGCCGGGCCCGCCCCAGCGGGGAGGGAGCAGCGCCCGGCAGCCGCCGCTCGGCTCGGGCCTCACCTCCTGCAGCGACTCGGGCACGGCGGCGGGGACGATGGGCCGCTTCACGCCGCGCTGCTCGCGTTCCCGGTCGCGCTCCTTGTCCTTGCCGTTCTCCGCCTCGCCTTTCTCCGCCTGGGTCATGCTCCGGCCGGGCGGAAGCCGCGTCTGCCGGGCCCGAGCGGCGCCGAGCCCGGCGCGGGGCGGAAGCGGGCGGGCCCTGGTCGGGCGCCGCCCCTCAGCAGGTACCGGGAGGGGCTCGGCGGCTCCCGCTCCGGCGCTGAGGAGCCCGGCAGCGGCACGGGAGCCTGGGGAGCAGCCCCGCTGCTGCCGCTACCGCTGCCGCGGGTCTGGTGGAGCACTAACCAAACGCTCTCACCTGGGCTGGGGCTGCAGGAAGGGCATACGGCCCTCCAGCAGCTTAAAATACTCTATGCAAAGACTGTGGTGCAGCTGGTGTGCGTGGTACAGCTGCGAGGAGCTGACCATGTAAGGGCCTCCCTGTTTGTGGGCAGCGAGCTCCTTTATAAACTGCAGAGAGGATGTTTGACTGCAGCTGGGGGAGATGTGGTTTTTAAAGGCTGAAAGTTGCTGTTGCACAGCCGAGTCGAAAAGAGAGGAATTTTGTGTTAGGTAGGAGTGGTATCTGCTGGAGTACCTTGTTAATTGAGGGGCATTGTTGATTAATTTCCCGCTAAGGACTAAATAAATTCCCGCTAAGGAATACATTCAGTGCAAGAGCACTGAGAAACTCCCATCTTGAAAAGGGTAAATCAGATAAAAGATAGTTACTGTTTGAAAGAAAATAACTACTCTGGGAGAGCTGTCAGTATTTGAGTTGACCTCTTTTTTCCTCATGTAATAATAACAACACCTATTTTTATTGTAAAAAAAACCCCAAAATTTGTACAGTAAGTGTTTTTACACGTTTCAATAAGTTTATAGTGGAGAATGAAGCTCTTTCAAGAGGTGTTTCTGTTATAAAAACCATTATGGACCTTACTGAAGCAAGGGTTGTAAAACAAAGTAATTTGTTCACTGCATTTTTCAAGTGCTTTTAGAGTATCATTAATAGAAGGAAAATACAGCAGAGTGTTTGTCCAGAGAGTGTGAGTATAAAAGCTCTTAGGAATTGCTGCTTTGACTCTTGAGGGACCATCTCTATCAACTATAAATACGTATTTTTTCTCATCTGAATAGCAGAAGGCTTATTGTACTTCAGATTTCTTCAGTTTCTAAAAATGATGAGAAAATCAGCCTTGTGACAAGCCAAATATAATTTACTTACAACTTTGCAACTACAGTAAAATGTTCAGAAACTATACAAAGACTTTAGACAGTAAACATCTATTTAATGAAACTGTGGTTCAGTTACACCGGATCCTTGAGGAAGGAGTTCCCAGTACAACTTCATTGATCTGCTTCCATCACAGAACAGTTTCCAGTCAGGCATACACATCCCCATTTGGTCCACCACTAAACTCTTCTTTTCATCTGGCTGATGTGTATGCTTGTGCCTGCCTCTTCAGCAGGCGTTTACCTGAAAGATAAAGCAGTAACAGTACATTTAAAGAGGCCTCTTTGTGAGATAAAATTAAGTAAAAAATTTAAAATAATATTGCTTTTAATTTAGCTAAATGAGACATGCTAAAGACTTGCTAACTTTATTTCTGAGCAGGTTACAAATTGCTGTGATTAACCAAAAGCCATCTCCACAGTCTTTGCTGGCCTTGTGTCTACTCAACAAGAAAAAAACACCACAACTTCCTGGGTTTTTCTCCCACTTGGAAGAAGCTTATCCTTGTTCCAGTGAACTGAAATACTGGTGTCTGTGTTTCCTGGCATATCAACTTTTTCCTACAAGGTTTACAGGTATTAACCACCGGCATGGGTTGTTTTTTTTCCTTGTAACTTTTATTATAGTAACAATAGGAGTGACTGATGAAAAACAAACATTGTTACTTAAGTCTAAAAGTAAATGAAACCATACTGTAAATACAGTCAGTGTCAGCTGTAACTCCCAGCAGCCAAACTAATTATTAAACAGAATTAAATATCAGGCAGCTGTAAGAAATGTAAAACCTCTTTTAATTTTACCTCTATTTTTAAGCAATTCTGATTTTTACACTTTATTGGAATTCAAGATTGGTATGGCTGTATCATTGTAATGGGAGAAAAAACCCATTTTTACTGTCTTGTAAAACAACAACTTTATCTTTTTCTTTCTTTTCTGTTGAGAAATATCAGCTTTAACCAAGACCCATCACATGTCATATAACTATTAGAAATGCTAACAAAGCATCGTTTTCTAACAATCTGATCTTTAAATTAGCAGCCAAAAAAGATGAGAAGTTATTTATAACTTATCAGCTGTGCTCAAAAATCTTTGCTGCACTTTGTCCATCAACTTCTGTGCAATTAAAAGTGAAAGCCCACCATTCCTAAACCAAAATCCTTTTGAACATCCCTTCCCCCTGCTTTTTCTCCCCTTCACTGGAAGTATGTTTATTTCTTTTATTATTGAAAAATTTTGATTATTTTCCTGTTTTGGTAACTTGTGCAGCAGGAGGACAAAACACTCCATTCTACCTTAACCCTGAATTAACACTGCTATTAAAAGAACTTCAAACCCTTCAAAGCAGGACACAGCAGGCTTGGAATTACCTTCCTCATCCACCTCCAGCCATTGGTGGTGGACTGGGGCCTCCACCCCAGTGATTTATTCGGCCCATCCTACGGCGAGGATTTGCTGGAGGCCTGAAAAGAAAGGAATTCTACCTTCATTAAACTTTTGAACATGAAATACAATAACTGTCTCTAAATGTCAGTAGTGGAAAAGTCTGATTCTCTAAAGTTGAGTTTCACCTGGAAAGCTGTAAGAAAACCCCAACCCCACTATCACAAAAATCCTCTCCTGTTTCATTACTGCTGTGTGATGTGAGAAGGCCACTGATGCTTTTACACAGTCCTACAAAACACTTAGGCTGCAGTGTTCATAGAAATTACACCCCTAAACCAGTGTTTTACTTTAGGTAATGTAATGCAAGAAATGACTGCACTAATGCAAGTCAAATGCTGAGTACAAAGATGTCTAAGAAAATAAAATTTTAACAAAGACATATCTTGTCTCCTAGGCAGGCTTCAAAAATATTTTCAGAGAGTGCTTGTCTGTACTGCTATTGCAGCTGTCCAAAGCTGTGTATTGTTACCAACAATAGTGCAGATAACCATTTTAGCCTTCCTGCACAACCCAATTCAATGCAAATCACAACTGTAATCTACTCAGATTCATGTCACTTCACCAAGATAGGGGAAAAACTGGTGTGAATATGAAAAAAATACCCTCTTCCATCATGGTATCCTGAATAGGAGGAAGATGTGTAGCCTCTTCTTCTTAAATCTGGTTGAATAATGCTCTGGAAACTGAAAAATTAAAACAATGGTTAGGTGAATTGATAGCTGGTTATAGTTTTTGAATATTTTGATTGGAAGGTAAGAAATGGCTGAAAACCAGTAAGTAGTGTTCAGGAATGAACAGTGTATCCTCTCATGATCACTGTTGTTTAAATCTTGGCAGTTTGTCTCCTACATATGAAACTAAAATCTGAAATAATTCCAAATTACAGTGAAGCTTAAACTATAAAATCTAAATTATATTATATATTTTTAATTATAAATAATTATATATTTTAAATTATAAAATCTAATTTTCTTGGTAATATGCAAGAAATGCATAAAGTATAAACTTATAACTGAAATCACTAAGAACTGTTGAAAACACCACATGAACTTTGTGTTTGTTAACTGGCTTTGATCCAAATTTGTGTTTACTGTGTGATTACTTTTACATAGTCAGAATCTATTGTCACCAGTAGAAATTCTCCAAACAGCTTAATTATTTATATACAGCTAGTAGATGCTTTTTAACAAAAGTGTGTATTTTCTTTTTGCAGTATCAAAATAGATGAAATGTAAGAAAACTCATTTGAACTGCCAATAAGTTATAACCACTTTTCATGCAATTTTTGTTAAGTATACTGTGCTTAATAAACACAACCACATAGTTGTAGTAAAGCATTTATACATCTGGAATGCTAGAGAGTAAATATAATATTTTTATTGTTGTGTTACTGATAGCATTGTGTAACTTCCACCTCTGTCAAATCTAAAATGAAGCTCACCAAAAGAATTAACTTCTACTTACAACAGAACCACAAAATCTGCTATTGACCAGAAGAAATCTGTTATAGATGACAACCTCCAGGGAGCCCGACTCTGGTTATCCAAAACTTGTCCTGTAACATATTCAGATACAAGATGTTCAGTGTGTGACACTGAACAGTGCATTACACAAAACCATATCTGCTAAGTCCAGAGTTTGCAGCTGGGACGGTGAAACTGCACTTCACGGCAGGGAGTTTCATTTTCTGCAGGGTACTGCCCAAGTACGTCAGCTAAAGGGGTCAGCACCGCCACAGGAGCTCTGTGTCCAGAAAACCCACACAAAGTACCGGGCAGAGTCTGATTCCCCGTAAGCGGTTCAAGTGCTGCCGTGTGACGCTCCCGGTGTCTGCAGCACGGACTTGGACTTGTCAAAGTCCCCAAATCCGCTTTAGAAGCAGACCAGGCTCGGCCACAGGCCGCAGGGCAGCGCGGGGTGACGCGACACCGGCAGCTGCCAGACCCTGCCCGGCTGTCCCGGCAGCGGCGGCGCTGGGGGCGGCGCTCCGCGCAGCGCAGCCCCGGTGCCCCCGGTCGGTGCCCAGCCCCGGCCCGGCCCCCCACCGCTGCAGTCACACACCGCGGCTGCCCCGGGCCCCCAGCCCCTCACCGTTCGAGATGTACACCATGGCTGCCCGCCGGCCCGGCCCCCGCCCCGCCCCTGCGCCTGCGCGGCCGCCGCGCGCATGGGCAGCGAGCGGTGACGGCGGCACCCGCGGAGGAGCGGCCCAAGGGCTGTGCTGGGATCTTCGTCCCCTGGCCTCATGGCACGGACGTGCAGCCCCTGAGATTAACGGGGTCCCGCTCAGGACCGCCTGTTATCCAGGGGTCCCTGCTGGAATGCTCTGCCTGGGGAGGTGGTGGAGTCACCATCCCTGGATGTGGCATTCGGTGCCATGGTTTAGTTGAGGTGTCAGGGAACAGGTTGGACTCGATGATCTTGAAGGTCTCTTCCAACCTTGTGATTCTATGATTCTGTCAGCAGCCCCGTTACTAACGAGTTTTCCCTCGACACCCCGGATAATGAGGGGTCCCCCTGAACAGCCGCTGTTATTAACCAGGTTCCTCCCAGTGCCCCTGGTAACGAGGGGTCGCCTCACAGTCCCGGCACCAGGACCCCTCAGCAGCCGCTGTTATTAACGAGGGATCCCCTCACAGCCCCGGTACCGGGCTCCCTCAGCAGCCGCTGTTATTAACGAGGGATCCCCTCACAGTCCCGTCACCGGGACCCCTCAGCAGCCGCTGTTATTAACGAGGGATCCCCTCACAGCCCCGGTACCGGGCCTCCTCAGCAGCCGCTGTTATTAACGAGGGATCCCCTCACAGTCCCGGCACCGGGACCCCTCAGCAGCCGCTGTTATTAACGAGGGATCCCCTCACAGCCCCGGTACCGGGCCTCCTCAGCAGCCGCTGTTATTAACGAGGGATCCCCTCACAGTCCCGGCACCGGGACCCCTCAGCAGCCGCTGTTATTAACGAGGGGTCCCCTCACAGTCCCGGCACCGGGACCCCTCAGCAGCCACTGTTATTAACGAGGGATCCCCTCACAGCCCCGGTACCGGGGCCCCTCGGCAGCCGCGACGGAGCCGGCCTGAGGCAGGCGGTGCTCAGGGAACGGCTCCTCCCTCCGAGGAGGGCGGGTCTGGTTAAATTATTTATTAAATAAATAATATTATTATTTAAATAAATGTTATTATTTATTAAATAAAATAAATAATAATTTATCATTCCAGTGCTGTTGGAGCTTCTTTGCTGTGTTTAGTGATAGTAACAGGAGTTGGAATAGTCACGATTTCATAAAAACGAAGTGTTCCTAGTCACCTCCTGCAGTAATGATAGAAGTACAACCAAGTGCAGAAATGAGTTAACATTTCTCTCCAAAGGGAACTTTTATGCCCTGTATTTAATGACAAGTATGTGGCTATGTACATTATATTCGTAGGAATGTTCAACCCTAAATTGGGTATTTCTTTTAATTTATTTTATTTTTATAAAAACCTTGCTCTGCAAATATTGGCTAGCATTCCTTTTCTTGGAGAATACATGCTTGTAAAATTGGGGGTAACTATACAGCTTTATGGGCAAATTTAATATAATACCTTCTCTCTCTGAGTTTCTAAGCTGAACTAATAAAGAGGGGGTGTTTAATTCTGATGCGAAACAGCAATAAAAAGTTATGTAAAAACACTTTAATATTTCCTTTGCAACACCTGTCTTTTCCTAATGATGATGAGGTAAAGTCCTTTGCTAAGAGGAGAATAGCAGAAGAGTGTTTTCTGAAGGTGGACTTGTAATACAGCGTCTCTGACAGGGCAGCTGTCCCACAGTAAAGAAATTGCTTGCACCTGACAGGTGTTCATAAATGTTCGATGGCTGTGAATAAACTCTTGCAAACAACTGAAAGCAGTTAGCAAAGAAAAGTGTCTGTAACATGTAGGTGCAGAGTTTGTGGTAATTGGGAGTGGGGCTGCGGCTGAGCCTCATCATCCCCAATGGGCTACAGCTGTGAGCAGCAGGTGAGCAGCATTGGGGGTAACGAGCCATGGGGTGCCCTGACCAACCAGCAAAGGGAGCAGAGGGCACACAGGTGCAGGGCATCAACAGGAGGGGATAAAAGGCTGGGCTAACAAAGGGGAGAGCCCTGCAGCCCCCTGAAGCAATGGGATGTTACTCTGTATGGGCAGGCAGCTGAAGCCCTCTGAAGAGGTACGGTGTTACTGTGTGTGTGTGTTGAAGATTTCTGAAAGTGCATGGGGATACTCTGTATGGTGGCTTTCTTAACTGTGAGATATGCTGTGTTGTTTGCTGTGACAGTAACAAGGTGTCTAAAATAAATGTTTATCGTGGTTGTAAGAGCTGGCTAATCTGCAACTCAATAGAAGGTGCAATGCGAAAGCATTTAGAAAATGGCGCTGCATAGTGTGAAATGGGCATAAACACAGGCAGTGTGTTAAAATAAGCCTGGAACACCACCTCTGTACCTTTTGCTTTCCAAATCCCCAAACATCAGACAGAAAATCCCCAACACATCAAAGGTGGTTAATGAGTTCTTAATGTGCTGTATTTTTTGTTGTTGTTGTTTGTTTAGTTTTTTGTTATTTGTTTTTTGGTTTTTTCTCTTGGGGGAGAGGACTTTTTAAAGTAAAATAAAATGGGAGCTAGTCTTGTGTTTTTTTAATAACAATGATAAATAATGGTTCAGTGCCCTACGATTATATCAATAAAATGCAATTTTCCTCTGTGAAATGTACTTCTGGTGAATGAAACTAAAGAACTTTTAAAAAAATCCTTTAAAAATTGTGAGTACTGGTGTGTGTGTACGCCTAACCATTTTATTTTTCCAAGAAGGGGTGTTCAGGTGCTTAACAATGGTAAAATCACCAACCACTGTATAAAGTGATACATGAAAATGTCTGTGTTTGTAGCCAATGAAAATGAACTCACAAGCTGAGAGCAAAGTGAATCTGCTTATTGCAGAGTAAAGACAGTACTGGTACAATTAGTGTGAGAGTCTTGGTTCAGTCCTATGCACACAACCCCATTGCAGGCTGTAATAAATCTGTTGGTCTGCTTTTTTGTTTTCTCAAAGTTTTCAGGCTTTGAAGAAACAGGCTGCCTTTCCTGTTCTTACCTAGGGTATAATCCAAGTTCTTCCATACTTCCCAGGAGTTTTCTGCAGTGTCAGGCTTTGCTCTCTTCTTACAAGTGTTTATAACTGTTTTTAAAGCACTAATGTGTACATTTAGTATTAATTTATTGCTACATTTAACTTTTAGATGTTAAAGTGTGACATTTATAAGCCAGGGTTAAAAAACAATGGTAACATGGCATTATCAACCTGATTATGTCTTGGCCAGTCCTTGGGTGGGTAGAGAGGAGCAATGGGAGGAGCTCTCCCTGTGCAGCTCAGTTTGTGGTGGAGTTGGCTCGGCAGCTGTGCCATGAGTGTGGTGGGAATTCCAATCCTGGGAGTGCCAGGGCCCTGTGTCCCCCTCAGCCCCACCTTGGCTTCCACCTTTGGGGCTGGCAGGTTCAGAGGATCAAGGGGCTGTGCACCTGTGCTTAAAGAACAGAGGCATTTGGAGAGTCAGCAGCAGAAATGCAAAACAGCTGGGTGTCCTTGTGAGGGTGGCTGCTGTGAGCAGAAGTGTGTAAAAGAGCCAAAAGTTACCAACTGTGCTGTTTGGAAGCTGGGGAGCTGCGATTATTTGGCAACAGGCCAAGGAAATGTTTGTGAAATGCCATGAAAAAGTAGTGTGGGCTGTACATGTGGACAAGCAATTGAAAAAGAACAATGTTTTTTACAGTTACCTTTTTTAATGCCTTCTGAACTCTTAAGGGGATACCTTCTGTTTTGTGATTGTTTAGGGGTTTTTTTTGCACTCTGTTCTAGGTGTAGGTTTGTATATTTTGATTCCTTGTGAACTGTGTTTTGTACTGCTACCTAGGTACCCATGTCTGGTACTGTCCTTTAGCAATGTTTTCTATTTCTTCATGAAAAGTAACAAAACCACAGGTCAGCTATTTTTATAGCATTTTCTATATTGAGGGATGATCTTTTAGTTGGGGTGCAAGAGAACCTGAAAATGGTGTGCACAGAGTGGTGATACAGCATGAGCAGAAACTTGACCCTGCCCTGAAGAGGATTTGCAACATACTGGTCACATTTAATAGCAGAAATAGAAAAAGCACTTTTTTTTTTTGCTATAGTGACATAGTGATGATCAAGTTGCACCAGCATACAATTAAAATGGAAGCATTCAAAACTTAACTTGGACTTGAATTATTCATAAAAGAGCTGATTGTTATGTAGTATTTGTTTTATGCACACAAAATTAATACTGTATGTCTTAGAATCAGAAGGTCTTCTGAATTCCACATTACAAATATAGAATGTTTATTGCAGCATAAACACAACACTCAGTGGATATTTCACAGGATTAGATTTATTAACTGCTTTTATAAGAAAAATTTAAATGACTTGCTGTTTGTGGAAGAGTAGAATTTACCTGTTTGGGTAGCTTCAACTTTTGAATAATTGATTGGAGACCTAATTTTTTTTTATTCTTTGGGGCTCCAGATAGAGCATATACTTTCATGTATTGTGGCCTCTCTTTAACTGAGAGCCCACAATGCATGAAAATATCCTGTACAGATTTCACCTGGAAGATAGAATTTGCAAAATCAGCATCTCTGATCCTGGCATAAAATCAGGTCAAGTGCATAAGCACATGATGCTGTGGACAATTTTTCCCCTGGCTGGACGGAAACTAGATGTTGTACTAAAAGAGTTTGTCTGCCAAGTGTTTGTTTGTTTATACAATTTCTTGAGATCTGAATAACAAACATGAAGAAGCTTTTGTGAGAAATGGTTGCTTACTTTTCATAATTTAGAAAAGTTTATTAAACCTTATCAAAAATACAACAGAAAACTGAATATAGAAAAAGGTTACTGTGCTGGGAGCAAAGGATTTCCCCTCCCAGGTGCTCACCTACACAATGGAGGTTTTGCCTTTTAACCCCTCCCAAAGGTCTCTCCATCGAGCCCTTCTTCTCTGTCCAGTGTAGAGATCTTTTCCTCAAATCCTGATTGGAGGTCAGATGTCACCATAGCACCGAGCTGGCCCTCCCAGATGTCCTGACCCTGACTGTCTCTTGATAACTGTGT